AAAGCAATCTGTGGAGGGAGAGGGTGACAGTCAAGCAAACACTCTAGAGAGAGCCGGGTGCAGCCTCCGAGACCCTCCCCCAAACAGGCTTCTGGCAGCTCAAAACGGTTCCCCCCAGCTCCTCTCTTAGTTTCAATCAACTTTCTCCCCTTTTTTTAGTTCGGAAATTCAATTCGAACTGACGCTGAGACCCGGGGCCGTCTCAAAACTGTGGAGGGAGAGGGTGACAGTCAAGCAAACACTCTAGAGAGAGCCGGGTGCAGCCTCCGAGACCCTCCCCCAAACAGGCTTCTGGCAGCTCAAAACGGTTCCCCCCAGCTCCTCTCTTAGTTTCAATCAACTTTCTCCCCTTTTTTTAGTTCGGAAATTCAATTCGAACTGACGCTGAGACCCGGGGCCGTCTCAAAAGCCCCGTGTTTTATGCTGCCTCTGTACACAGGTATAGATCACATTCGGGTTAGAAAGCGGGAAAGGTCGGTTACCCATCGCCAGGGGCTTCAGGGGCAAAGCAGTGATATCGGCCTGGGGCCCTAAAGATCCTGAGTTAGCCATTAACTGAGTTATCACCATTATACAACACCTCCAGCCTATAAAACCGGCTCACTTTAGATTACAGGGCCTCAGCTAAAGGGATGCTCGGGGATACAGAGCTCACTGAATTTCACTGCAAACCAGCCAGCTGACAAGGACATGTGCTCTCTTTCTTTCTCCAGGGCAGTCCCAGGGGCCCCCGACCCCCCCGACCACCCCCAAAACGGACGTCCAGCCGGGTAAGCAGGACCTGAAGCGAGAAGGGCGCCCGTTGCAGGAAGGAGGAAGACAGCCGCCCCACATTGACTTCCGAGACGTGGACATCGGGGAGCTCAGCAGCGACGTCATCTCCAACATCGAGACCTTTGACGTCAACGAGTTTGACCAGTACCTGCCGCCCAACGGTCACCCTGGCGTCCCGGCCACACACGGGCAAGCCGGGCCAGTCACCTACAGCGGGAGCTACGGGATCAGCAGCACGGCCGCCACTCCCGCGGGGGCGGGGCACGTGTGGCTGTCCAAGCAACAGCCGCAGCCACCGCCGCAGGCCCCGCCCCCACCGCAGCACACGCTGACCCCCCTGAGCAGCGAGCCAGGCCAGGCCCAGCAGAGGACACACATAAAGACCGAGCAACTCAGCCCCAGCCATTACAGCGAGCAGCAACAGCATTCCCCTCAGCAGCTCAACTACAGCTCCTTCAACCTCCAGCACTACAGCTCCTCCTACCCGACCATCACCCGCTCACAGTACGACTACACCGACCACCAGAGCTCCAACTCCTACTACAGCCACGCTGCCGGCCAGAGCACCAGCCTCTATTCCACCTTCACGTACATGAGCCCCACCCAACGGCCCATGTACACGCCCATTGCAGACACTACCGGGGTCCCTTCCATCCCCCAGACCCACAGCCCACAACACTGGGAACAGCCTGTCTACACACAGCTGACTCGGCCCTAAAGGCAGCCACCGCCACAAAAAGTGAGAGAGAAACAAGACTGTCTCCAACTTTTGTGTGTGTGTTTTTTTTAAAAAGACACTCGTGCTCAAGGTGATGAAAAAGAAGAAACCACGTCGGGCCTTCTGCACTACAGCTCCCATCAGGGTGTGGCCAGACCACTCTGCTGAGAACCAGCAAAACTCGGTACAGACATTGCATAGACTGGACTTTAACCTGGATGGGGGGGGCGAGAGATGAGCTTCCTCACCGGCCAACTCGTCTGCCAGTGATTGGACTTTTGTAATTATTTTTTAGCAGTACTGAAAAGCGAGAAAAAAAAAAGGAAAAAAATACCCAGAGTCCTCTGTGAGGAATACTCTCTATTTTAAATTTTTTTTTAGTATGTACTGTGTATGATTCGTTACCAATCTGAGGGGATTTATACGTATTTTTAGAGGGTTTTTTTTAATGCTCTTATTTTTCCGACCGCTAAAACGACACTTAGTGGAGCAATCCTTGCAGTCAGAGGTATTTTTGTATAGATTAAAATATTTTTTTCTTTAAAGAAAAATAAAATAAAACCGTGCACATTCATTAGGAACAACAATGGCTAAACGGTGATCAGCATCTGGCTAAGTTTTGGTCAGCGGAGCAACCTAGGAGACGCAAGGGGTGAAAAGCCAAATAGACTTTATTTTTCTAACGTAGAGAAGGGCAGGAGGAAAATGTGTTAGTTTTATTTTTTCAAAGATCGTGAGCCTTAAAGCAGAGCGCTGTTGAAAAGCCTTAATAGCAGCTAGGTTTTTTCCCCTCCCGGAGAGTCTTCAGTTGCTACCCTCCCATGCAAAAAGAAAAACAGAGCCCAAAAGGGAGGTAGATCTGTTTTCGGGGAAAATGAACGTCTGACCCTTTTCCCAACAATCAGCAACAGATTACGATGCCCCAACCAGCATCACCCTCCTCAGCTTCCTGCTTTGGACACCATGTGCCTGACAGATGCTGGAGACCCCTTGCATCACCTCCCCAGCCCTTGAATGGGTTTTGGATCAGGCCCTGATGTTAGCACTCAAAGCTCTTTAAAGGCCCCTTATTGGCTTCAATGGACTTTGAATGAAACCCGGAGGGCGCATTGGAAACATCAGACACGTTTTAAATTATTTATTTTGTGAGAAATGCCATTCTAATCCAGATATTTTTTTTTTTAATCTCCCTTCCATTTTTTAACTCCTTTAAAAACAATAGATTTGTTGGAGTCTTTTTTGGAGGGTACGATGCCTATTAAATTATGGTCTAAACTGTAACCAGTTCTTTATTTATCTCTAATTCCTTTGTATTATTATTATTATTATTATTTGGAATCTGTGTCCAAGGTTTGTACAAACGCGGTCTCTTCCTTTTTTTTTTTTTCTTTAAGGATAAACTGGAATTTTGTTTTGTATGAACTAGAGATTGCAAATGTAGTGTATCACTGAATCATTTGCCTCGTTTTCTGCCTCAGCTCTTTTGGACACACGACCGTGTGTGTATGTGAGACACAAAACACCATTGCCAAAATGTGGGGGGGGTCACCTTGCTGACCTTCCCCCTGCCTCACCCCTGATGTTGTTTAGAGGTGGGGAAAATTGACTTTGGTAAAAGCTGTGGCCAAACAGTTATGGATTGCTTTTTAAAAAAGACAGCAAACTTTTTTTATTTAAAAAAATGATATATTTGTTAACAGTTGTGAGAGGTGTTTTTTGGTTTTTTTTGGAGGAGTTTGGTTTGGTTTTTTTGTTAGGGATTCAGTAGAAAAAAAATCTTAAAGCACTCATATTATGGCATCTTCTTATTTCTGTATAAAAGCAGATCTTTTTAAAGTATTTCTGTAACTTAAAAGACCTGTCATTTAAATCCTATTTTGTCTTTAGGTAAGTTTGTTTTATTTTGTTTTGTTCACAAGACCATTTGTTCTCTTTTTGAAACTTACCTTTTTTGTATATTATTGTTTGCAATAAATATACGTTGTATTAATGAAAAATACGCACTTGGTTTTTAAAAATGTTAAGTGCATTCACTGAAAAACAACAGGATGTGAGGGATACAGTGGGGGCTGGATACAGAGACTTGTAACCTTGATTTGCCTCCTGCCCTGAGTGCAGGGCCGGTTTATGGGGGGGTGGGAGGGCTAGCCACGCAGCTGCCCGGGGCACCAACCTATTGGGGACGCCTGATGGCAGCTCTAAGGGGGACCATGTGCCCAGCCACACGGCACCCCTTAATCAGGCACTGCGCACCCGGAGCCGGGGGCCGCACAGCACCCCTTAGAGCTGCCATCAGGCACCGCGCACCCTATTGCAGCTGTAAGGTGCGCAGCGCACCAGGGGGTGGGGCTGTGCATGCGCCGTGCACCCAGGGGTGGAGCCACGCATGCGTGATGCGCCCGCTGCCTGGCTCGAGCCGGCCCTGCTTGATTGATACAGTGACTTGTAAACTTTTGTCTCCTGCCTTGATTAACTTTTATCACTATATAGTCTTGGGACCAGAGCCCGCTTAACTGAGCCCAATCCCACAAAGGTTCTTTACACAAGACTCCCATTAAAGCCAAGCACCTGTGTTAATTTCCTCCTACAGCCATAGCCCTCTGTGGTCAGTGTTAATCCCATGGAGGGGTTGGTAATTGATCGAAAGCTGCCTGGTTCCTACTGCCTCTCAGAAAGGCCAGTATGCAAAACCTTCAAAAAGCTGCATTCCTAGTAATGTGTTGCAGGAAAATATTACAGTGGGTCAGATACTCCTCTGTGCTGGTGTTTGTGTCCTGTACACATGGGATCCTACACAAGTCGGTGGTCTCAGGCCTGTTCCTGGTGGCCAAATGTCCCTCTCACAAACACCATGGTCACGTCTGAGGCTAAGTGTTGCCAGAGTGGGCGTGGGAATTGGGCAGCATCCCTTGTCGCTAAGTGGTTTCCAGTTTGGTACAACAGCTGTCAGCACCCCTCCTACCAAAACTGTTCCAGCGCCCCTGGCAGAAGGGAACTGAATGGAGCTAGAATTCCCCTCTACCTAACTGTTCCAGCGCCCCTGGCAGAAGGGGACCGAATGGAGCTAGAATTCCCCTCTTACCTTCTAGGAAGCAATCTCCCCAGCTCCAGAAGAGGCCTATTTAAATGAATCGGGAGTGGGATTTTCATTGCTGCTGCTGATTCTTGGGCCTGTTACTTTACGTCTACACAGCAGTGTTAGTTCGGAATAACATAGTCGGTGTCTACGCTACAAGCCGTTATTCCGACATAATGGCGAGCTGGAGGAGTTCTTACTCCGACTCCTGGAACCCTCATGTTACGAGGAGTACGGGAAGTCGGAGGAAGTGCCCTTCCTCGGACTTCCTGCTGTGTCGACAGCGCCAAAAGCCGAAATAAGCTATCGACGTAGCGCAAGAGGTGTCGCTTATTTCGGCTTTCGCCCTGCTGTGTAGACGTGCCCTTAGGCAGATAAATGGAGGAGACGCCACCTGCGGAGTTGTCAGATGGTCTAAATCGGGGTGGGGAGGCCCAGAGGCAGGATGCAGCCCCTGGTTTTCCTGGATCCAACCCTCAAGGCTTGGGGAATCCGTACCGGCACTCCAGCCCTCCTGCAGTCCCCCAGTGGGGCTGGAACACACAGAATCTACTACCCCCCTAGGCTTTGGTAAGCAAGGGGATGGGGGGCGGGGTGTGTGTCTGTCTCCTTGTCAGTCAGGAGCCATGTCAGTGAGGTGGGTTTTTTTTTTGCTTCTCACTTGTGTGCGGCCCCCAACTGATTTTTCTGTGGGTCAGCGGCCCCTGACCCAAAAAGAGTTCCCCTCCCCGGGCTCAAAGCACAAATCGACCAAAGGCTGAGCTCGTTTCCCCCCCCACCCCCCCAAAAAAGTGGGAAGCCACGAGAATTTCTTGTCAGTTTCTTCTCTTTGCAGAGACAGATTAATCCCTGGCATGGCTCCAGGAAGTGAAAGTGATTAAGAGAAAGGCCCAGCTGACTTGCCCCAGCTGCAAAGGAAACCCATTCACCAGAGCGGGGCAATGGGCTTCACATCGCCACCTGCAGGACGGGGCAGGAACCTGATTTGCTGTGCACCACCCGTACCTGCATTGCAGGGTTAGGCAATTCCTAGGGAGCTGGTACAAACCCATCACAGCGGGGGGGGCGGGGGGGAGGAGACAGGGCGGTTATAGCAGATGGGACTCTGTGAGGTTTGGCATGAATCACTCGGGGAGTTTCCGAGATCGCATGGACGCTCTCAGGTCATTTTCACTCGAGCCGATGATCTCACCTCCTCCCCGCCCCCGAGCAGCAGAACAGAGCAGGTATCAGCCTCCGGACCATGATGTCACTGTTCCGCCCAGCCAGAGGGCAGGCTGGGGTTGTTAAAGGCCACGTAGATTCAGGTGTGTGTTATATTGACTCTGTTTTGTCAGGCTTCCTGCTGGAAGAATCTGAACACCAGCCATGAGCCAGGTTTCCATCAGGGCAGCTCCCGTAGCATCGGAAGGGAGCTGGGAGGAGGGACCGGGAGCTCTCAAGGTAATACCAAGCAAGGGATACACTTGCTTTCTCCTTTCCCTCTCTCAGGATTGGTTTCCTCACCCAAGTTGCCTGAGATCAGTGAAAACACACCTGTGAGCAAACACCACCTGCACGAGTAAGAATTTTGCAGGAGCCTTAGTCTGTGAGCCCTGGTCTGTACTAGGACCTTCATCTGAACTAACCGCCCCCTCCCTCGTTCGATTTAGCCAGTCGTGCATCCACACTCCCAAGCCTGTTATTCTGGAAAAAGGGGGCGCAGAATTCAAATTCTGAGGTCCTGCTTTTCATCAGGAATAACGCTAATTCCAAACACAGTCCGAAATAACGCTAGTGTGGATGCGCCGGTGCCGCTAATTCGAATTAATTGGCCTCTAGGAGGTCTCCTGCCACTCCCCCGTGCGTCCTGGGTTTCTGAGGCCAAGATAGCATGCCCCGTTACCAGAGCCTGCTTCGGATGACATTCCCCATAGCAAGGACATGCAAGTTCGAATGTGTTAAATTGGGAGGCTTTAAGTCGAACTTAGTCATTTAAAAATAGTTTCCTAGCGTAGACACAGCCCAGGCGACGTCTATACTGGCATGATTTTGCGCAAATACTTTTAACGCAAGAGTTTTTGCGTTAAAGTATTTGCACAAGAGAGCGTCTACACTGGCATGTGCCTTTGTGCAAGAGATGTGCTTTGCGCAAAAGCATCCGTGCCAGTGTAGACGCTTTCTTGTGCAAGAAACTCTGATGGTTATTTTAGCCATCGGTCTTTCTTGCGCAAGAAATTCAGGTTGCCTGTCTACACTGGCCTCTTGCACAAGAGCACTTGTGCAAGAGGGCTTATCCCTGAGCGGGAGCGTCAGAGTGTTTGCGCAAGAAGCCCTGATTTTCTACATTAGAACGTGTGTTCTTGCGCAAGAACTCGCGGCCAGTGTCAACAGGTGGCAAGATTTTGCACAAAATCTTGCCAATATAGACAGAGCCTCTGAAAATGTCATCACTGCCCATCCAGGTTGACGCGGACATCACCAAGTGAACCGTGGGCAACGGCATAAATCCTTCTGGCTGGAACACTGGGCTTGCCACACCGCTCCTGGCCATGTTATATCGCAGCCCCGTTACCACCTCCCCAATCTGTGCAGTCACTGAGCTCGGCCAATTCACCTTTGGCCCGATTTGCTGCTCCTGCTGCTATTCCGGTGGTGGGAAAGCTACCGAGCGCACAAGCCCAATCTACAGCTCGCGATTGACATTGTGATTCCAGGGCTACACATCGCTGTGCAAATGCACCTGAAAGCTGGCCTGCTGCCCCACCCCGTTATTCCAGGGTTAGATTATCCAGGCACAGCTCTGCCTATGCACCTGCAGATCCGCCCTACCCCTATGTAGAACACGCAACTGCATAGGGCACCCAAAAATGTGGGGCACCGCTGAGACTTAATGTCCACCCGCCCGCCTTCCTTGGGAGAGGATCTGGATAACTAAAAAGTGACCAAGCCAGCCAGAGCTATTAGCACAACACTGAATCTGTGAAAGAGCCGTTCAAATGGTAACAGAGGCATTGAACAGGCATTTTCCAAGCCCAGATCAAGACTGTCGGTTTCTGAATTGACTGTGTCGGTCGACAGGGCCTTAGTTTCAAATGGTTTTATATCATTAGGGCGTTGGTGAAGACGATAAAAGCACAGCTCTAAAACATCAGCCGCCGCAGGCACCGGGGCGCAGTTTAACAGTCCTGCGTAGGGCCCCGCAAACCCTAAGGATGGCCCCGGCTAAGCTGCAGGACTCATCGCGGCTTCCGTGAAGCCGGCCTTCCCCGATGTTCTGCCTCGTGGTCTCGAGAGACAGAGCAATGCGCACTCACGCCAGGAGCGTGGCTTCACTGCAGAGGGGAAAGGCTACCGCAGGA